GGACAGGATGGGCAAAGCTTAGTCTAGTGTTCTTATTCAAGTCTATGTTTGCTTACAGTAATGGTGTTTTCCATCTGGCAACCTTTTGGCTACTAAAATTTTAGATTTTGTTATTAAATAGTTTAAAGAAACAAAGTCAGTCAGTGGAACTGTACTGTGGCTGTTAGTATTTACATGTGTTTTAGCCACTAAGGAGAGGTGTGTGATTTAATAAGAGAGGATGATAAATCACTCAACAGACCTCTAAAAAATGTGTCCCCTCTCTTCTGAGATGATGGTTARYCCCTTGAYTGAAGGCACCAGCAAAATATCTGGTTTTCTCCTGCTTTTGRRWAACTGTCTGTTGGAGCTCTTGTGCTGCACAGAGGCTGCCTGTCACTGTGAACATGAGTTGAGATCTTCTCCTCATTGGTCAGTCCACATGAGGCGGGTCAGGTGACTGAGAGGGTTGCTTAATGTCAAGTGTTGCTTTTGTGAAATAGTAGGACACTTCCCTCGATCTCAATGCAGTGGGTCATGTTTACCAGATTATACTGATGTGTTTTGTTTTTATAGCATCATGTGAAGGAGTGTCCTTGACAAGATGACATAGTGTATTTGTAGTTCTAGGAGCATTTGTACATCAAAATACACTTAGAATCTGAAGTATTGAGTATATTTACTATATATTGCAATAATTTACTCTGTATTTTGCCAGACTGGTAATCCTGGGGTCGTGATGATGGGGCCCTTGAATATTGTTGCCCAGGGTACAGTGAAGTGTTAATCCGGCCCTGGTCACCGGGGCCCCACTCTGGAGCCAGGCCTGGAGGTGGGGCACGTTGGCGAGTGCCTGGTGGCCGGGCTTCGGGCACAGCCTGAAGAGGAGACGTGGGTCCCCCTTCCCATGGGCTCACTACCTGTGGGAGGGGCCGTAGGGGTTGGGTACAATGAGTGTTGGGCAGTGATCAAGGGCGGGGTCCTTAGCGGTCCGATCCTCGGCTACAGAAGCTGGCTCTAGGGACGTGGAATGTCACTTCTCTGGTGGGGCAGGAGCCTGAGCTGGTGTGTGAGGTTGAGAGGTTCCGACTAGATATTGTTGGACTCACCTTGACGCACCGCTCTGGCTCTGGAACCAGTCTCCTCGAGAGGGGTTGGACACTCTTCCACTCTGGAGTTGCCCATGCTGAGAGGCGCTAAGCAGGAGTGCGCATACTTATTGACCTCCATCTCAGAGCCTGTACGTTGGGGTTCACCCCGGTGAACGAGAGGGTAGCTTCCCTCCGCCTACGGGTGGGGGGACAGGTCCTGACTGTTGTTTTTGCCTATGCGCCCAACAGCAGTTCAGATTACCCACCCTTCCTGGAGTCCTTGGAGGAGGTGCTGGAGAGCGCTCCTAATGGGGACTCCCTCGTTCTGCTGGGGGATTTCAACGCTCCTGTGGGTAATGACAGTGAGACCTGGAGAGGCGTGGTTGGGAGGAACGGCCCCCCCGACCTGAACCTGAGCGGTGTTTTGTTATTGGACTTCTGTGCTCGTCATGGATTGTCCATAACGAACACCATGTTCAAACATAAGGGTGTCTACATGTGCTCTTGGCACCAGGACACCCTAGACCACAGTTCGATGATCGACTTTGTTGTCATTTCATCTGATCTATGGCCGCACGTTTTGGACACTCGGGTGAAGAGAGGGGCGGAGCTGTCAACTGACCACTACCTGGTGGTGAGTTGGCTCCGTTGGTGGGAGAGGATGTTGGTCAGACCTGGCAGACCCAAATGTATAGTGAAGGTTTGCTGAGAACGTCTGTCAGAGTCTCCCGTCAGACAGAGCTTTAACTCACACCTCCGGGGGGAACTTTGAACACGTTCCGGTGGAGTTGGGGGACATTGAGTCCGAGTGGGCCATGTTCCGTGCCTCCATTGTGGTGGTCCCCCTATTTAAAAAGGGGGACCACCACTGCTCACCACAGGAAGAGCAGTGTGGTTTTCATCCTGGTCGTGGAACAGCGGACCAGCTCTACACCCTCAGCAGGGTCCTGGAGGGTGCATGGGAGTTTGCCCAACCAGTCTGCATGTGTTTTGTGGACTTGGAGAAGGCGTTCGTCTGTGTCCCTCGGGGACTCCTGTGGGGAGTACTCCGGGAGTATTGGGTCCCTGTATGACCGGTGCCAGAGCTTGGTCCGCATTGCCGGTAGTAAGTCGGACTCATTTCCGGTGAGAGTTGGATTCTGCCAAGGTTGCCCTTTGTCACCGATTCTGTTCATAACTTTTATGGACATAATTTCTAGGCGCAGCCGAGGTGTTGAGGGGATCCTTTCTGGTGACCTTAGGATCACATTACTGCTTTTTGCAGATGATGTGGTCCTATTGGCTTCATCAGCTTGTGATCTCCAGCTCTCGTTGGAGCAGTGTTCGCAGCTGAGTGTGAAGTGGCTGGGATTAAGATCAGTGATCAAAATCCGAGACCATGGTCTTGAGCCGAAAACCGGT